CAGTTGCCATTTTGTCAGGCAGGTTGGCTACGTTCTCTGCCAAATTTAATCTGGAGATGAGATGTACCGCCAATTGCTTGGCCTGGAAACTGACAGCAGAAAATTCAGCACTGCTCAGAAACAGTTCATGGAAATGAAATCTTTCCGTGCCCGAAATGCCAAGTGTCTGAGCTGTGCTGCCCAGCCTAGTGGGAAGCCCACCGGCCTCGTGTGAATAGAGTGAGACCGCTAAAGCAGGGAGGACAAAGGCACCAAATCAGACACCCTCAGCACTCTCAGAAGTAACTCAGCCACGCTCAGTCCTCTCGTGGCAACCTTCTCATTGTTGGAGAGAGGTGGCGAGCTTTTCCCAGACTGCAGGATGGGCAGTCGGCACCCACATCAGAACACAGGCCTAGCCTTGGTAAGGGTGTCCTCCCAACCAGCCTCTCCCTCAAGGCAGGTTCGATTTGATGGATGAGGAAACCAGACCCAGAGGGAGAGAGGCATGGCTGACGTCACACAGCTGGGGTGGGGTGTGAAGGCAGAAAGCCAGGCCTGATCAGTCCAGGTCTTGACCCCCAAGTCCCTCTGAACTGGCCTTGGCCTGGCATCCTGGGGAGTGCAGCTGTTGGTCTGCTCTCCCCCTCAGTCTCAGATGGAGACCCATCTGGAACGTGTCACCAGCTGCCACTGTGTCTGCAAGCAGCCAGCTCACTGGATTATGTCAAGTCTTCCGGAATCTGCTGCAAAGGCCCCTGGGGTGAGGACACAAGACAGCAGCCTTCAAGATACTGTTCACCGTCCCTCAGCTTCTTAGCTTGTAGAACGGAAGGGGTGGCAGAAGGCACAGGAGGGCCCAGAGCCCCAGGAGGGATGACTGATGTCCTGACTATGTGTTCACGGCCCATGTGTATCTGATATTGACTGGGCATCTCCTTTGGTCTAGCCCTACACCAGGTTCTGGGGATACAGAGATGAGAGGCACGGGTTTCCAGGAAGAGGGGCCTTGTAAAGTTTCAGATATATACTTGCTGAATGTACGAATCAGGGAAGCAGCCCTGTGCCAAGACAGACACAGGACAGAGCACAATTCATGAGGGCGGGAGGACTGGAGACCACGAAGAGCCCAGCGTGTGGACTGTCCTCCTCTCCCCCAGCCGCCCCCTCCTGCAGGCTCCCTGGATGTTACCAGCACCTAGAACACACATTGGTCCCAAGTAGAAGAAACTGGGAAAACTCACCCAGCATTTAAATTCCATGAGCATTTAAGCTCTCAGGGCATTTAGAGATGGATCTGGTGGCCCAACAATGGGAACAAATAAGGCCTTCTCCAGAGTAGACAGGTGCTATTACTGGAGTGCTGAATTCAGAACTTATCTACGTTATCACCTCTATTTAAGTCCAGTGAAAAATAACACTTAAAATACTCATGTTCCAGCTGTGCAAAGAAGTGGCCGCACAGCTAGCAGCTTGGCGTCCAAACAAGAAAGGAGCCCGAGTGCCTAAGGAGATGGGTTACACACAGAGCATGAGGAGAGCCAAGTTTCTCCCTGTCCAAGAAAGCAGACCATGGACAGTGAGAAGCTAGACTGGGTCCTGGGGTGTTGGACTGCAATGAAAAGTACCAGTGTGAACTTATCAGTATTTATATGCAGATACGGAAATTCAGACGCAACTGTGTGGGCACGCTCGTATACTTACTTTCTACGGGTCTACCCGCCCAGATGACCTGGGAGCAGTGAGACTCCAGTAGCAAGGGGCATACCTAGCACCAAGTTGTGGTTTCTAAATACAATCTCCCTGGAAGGGAACCAGGGCTCCTTGAAGAAATGGCCAATTCCAGGGCTGGGGCACAGGGAGGACGAGAGCCTGGAACACAGTATTGTGGCACAAAGGAAGGACGGACTCGAAAAGAGTGGTAAGAGCAGGCCAAGCACAGAAGGCAGCCCTCAGAAGGCAAAGGCTGGGACAACGTGTGCATCAAAACTGCAACACTAATGGATTATATACCACTGAATAAAACAGCGACCTGAGCCCATACCGATGCAGATTGTGAACGGGGGAAAGAACGCCAGAATCCAGGAGATGGCTAACTAATAAATGTACAAGAAATTACGCAGTCTGAAAATCACTTGGCAACCATCTTAGTAGTAATTCAGGCAAGGAAATCAATGGATACTAAAATTAATGGGCGTAATTTTCATGAGAAATAAGATATTCTGTCTCAAAATACCTTATCATAAAACACTGAATACAAAGGGACAGTGAGTAACAACTGCTCAGTGGAGAAGCTGGGCAGATCCTTGAATAATCAGAGTGAACCAGAAGTGGGACAAGCTGACATCCCTCATGGGATGCAGCAAAAAAACGCACAGCAGCACTTCTGTTATTTCTTCCAAAACCACAGAACTGGAGCCTAGTCATGAGGAAACCACCAAACATAAATTGAGGGCCATCCTAAGAGACAACGGTCCTGTAATGTTAAAATAAAAAGTTAAGGTCATGAAGACCAAGTAAGGACTAAGGAAGGTATAAACTTGGTTTGTTATCCTGGATCCGGTCCCTTTGCTACGAAGATACTTACTGGGACACCGCACACTGAAATGGGTTCGGGGGTAATTGGGAGCACTTTGTATTGTCCCTGGGACTTTTCTGTGTGAAATTGTTTAGGGGTGAAAAGCTGTTAACGCTCTTTGCAAAAACGCAAACACGGTCTAAAAATTTTAACACCAAAGTTAAACATATGAAACTATTGAACTTTCCTTTAGTTTCCTTGGAACTGGAAAAATAAAAATTAGCAAAACTGCTATCGAACCAGCACAGGCAGGCCTAATTGACCAAAAAAGAAATTTGAACCCCCTCCCACCCCCAAAAACCTCCTAAAAGTTGCAAAAATCACTCCAGGGTTCCTAACATTGTTCAAGACCTCCACCTCAGCTGTTCCACGGCAGAGCATCACCAGCCCCAATCGTTCTCATCCAGTTTATAGTCAATCACTTTTGAATAATTTATCAAGTATCCTCCTATCCGCTATTGCAGGCAAATTAAAACCCAGACTGGCTTCCAGAACTTACTGCCGAACTTTTAGGAGCAGTTTTGAGACAACGGTGGACTTTGTTAAAGAGATGGAAGCTGTCAGTTCCACAGGCTTCCATGCGGAAGGCCCACTGGCTAGCACAAAGGATAAAGCCTCCCAATGTTCTTGTCATGGCCAACGTTAATAGTTGTCCAAAACATTGGGGAAAAAGACAAGGCTGCTTGAGAGGCAGCCAGGGTTGAGATCAGCTTCCCCAGTTGCTCTGAAGACCACCTCGTTGCCTGGGGAGGGATTACGCACTCTCAACATCAATAACTCATGGCAAACCAGCTGGGAAAGGATGAGGGCCTAGGTCACGAAGAATGGAAAACGAAGTTTAAGTGGTCTCTTTGTAGGCCACAAGTCTGGGATGGCTATTTTCTCATCTGTGCTCCTGGAAGACAAGTTCCGCTACACCTGGTAAAAGAATTCATTACTAGTTAAATGTTGTCATAGAATTTCAAACTCAATGGCAGAGACCTGGTCTCCAGTCATTCTGGAATTGGCAGCACCATGCACATGAAGCAAACTTGTCACCACTGTTGTTTCTTTGGTCATCCAGCCTCCTCTCCACTGAAAACCCTCCCCGGGGGACCATTGCTTTCCCTACTGAACATCATGAGATGTCACCACCACCGCCCCCGTGGTTCCCCAAACACTGCTTCAGCGCTTGATCTTTTTCCTAGCAAGCCCAGGCCTTCTCTCCCTGTCACTGCCCCTCCCACCCTCCCATTCCCAAACGACCCACACACCGTTCTGGAAACTAGTCTGCCACCCAAACAGGTCCAGCAGCTATACTCCCCCTCTGGGGTTCTACCCACTCTCTTCTTCCAGCCGTGGTTAAGGTGCTTCCTCCAACTGTCTCAACTCTGATCCTAGGGCCCAAAGATTCCCAGATGTGTTCATCTGACTGCTTTGTTCTGGCCAATTTATCGCCATGCTGGGTGCTTCTGAGTGTTTAGTGCTGAATGGCATTCTCTGACTTTAAGTGCAAGGTAGCGCAGCAACAGCAATGAATTAATTTCAAGGTGGTACCCTAAGCCCCCACATACATGTGAGGCAAGCACACATGGAACACACTGCTTGATACCACTCCTCTGGAAAGAACCTGTGATGGTCACAAGTAAACCAAACTGAAGCTAAGACCCAAAGTCAAGAGGCCAAGATGCCAAAAAAGCAACAGAAAGCATCATATACTTTGATATAGGGTGGGCTAGTCACAGTTTAGAACAGGGGTGGCTAACTTTTTCTGGAAAGAGCCAGACAGTAATTATTTGGACTTTGTAGGTCTCAGTCTCAGCTCCAACTATTTGACAGCAAATCTGCAGCACAGAAGTATAGCTACAGGCAATACGTAAACAAATAAGCATGGTTGTGTTTCAATAAAACTATAGACACTAAAATTTGAATCATCTTCACATAAAATCCTTTTTTGAAAACCCTTAAAAATGTAAAGACCATTGCTAGCTCATAGGACTGAAGTTTGCCAGCCCCTGGCTTAGAAGATCAAAGTGGAACAAAATGGACATGGGAGGTCAACTAAAAGGACATGTACCCAAGCCTCATGGCTAAGGAACTCACCAGAACAGACTTGGTCAGGAAGTTCTTATGCCCTGAAACTGCTTAATTTTGGTTGAATATTTTGTACCAGTCTTATTAGGCTGGCTGCTATAATACAAGAGCATGGGAAAAATGGGAATTGAACTAAAATTTCTAAAAGCCCTTTTGAACCTTAATTTATGGTCCATCAAGTATTCCAGCTGTGTTGATGTTTTGATTGAGGAAAACAGGAGACCCAATAAAACTGACCTAGCATCTGGCCCCCTACATGCCAATCACTGAAGAAAACAGAACTATGGGTGACAGAGGCATCGTCAACTCTCAATCTAAGATTCTATATGGCAAAAGGATCATTTTAAAAAATGAGAAATGCAATGGTGGATATGTTGAAAATATTTTATAATTAATTCTCTAGAATCCTAGCCATGTAGTACAGGAAAAAATTATAGGGTGGAACACTTCAGTATTTTTAAACAATGTAAAGACATATTTGACTAGAGGATGGCAATAAGAATTTAACAAATATAAACTCAAGCTTCCTCACATTTTCCATAGAGCAACTAAACAATAAAAATATTTCAAGAAATAGATGACAGAATACCTCAAACGTAAAAATTCCAAAATCAAAGAGCCAATTACATTAAAAGATTTACCAAAACTGTTTGTAAATTAAAAGGTAACAGCAAAAGGTCACAAAAAGCCTATTTTTTTCACAGCGTCTTGGCTAATTCTTTAAGCAGATAGAACAAGGTAAAGAATGATCAAAACTTGGCCTCAACTGTTTTCTTGTAATGATTAATCCCACTATTTGTGGTTTTGTTGTCTGAGGACAAAAACGCCGTGCCATCAACTTCTGCTGTCACTTTCCAGAGAAAAGAGGCTGCTGCTGGGGGTTTTTTGTGTTGGGTTTTTTTGTTTTTTTTTTTTTCCAGTTTTCGCTATACTGATCAATTAGGTAGCAGACAGAATGACATAAAATAAGTGAAAATATTCCATTATTCGACCAGAAATGCCACCCTCTTCCCAACTCATTGCTCTGTCTTGAAGGAGGAACATATTTACAAATGCTCGTTTTATTCTCCTGAGACATTTTGCATGATCCATTATAAAACATACAGGTAATACAAAGTCCAAAGGTGTGCCGTGTTTAAGGAGTACACACATGAAGATTAAACTACATGATAACACTGTGGGGAGAAACCATGGTCTCATTTATTTTCATGAGAGACAGGTACGAGTGCATGACATGAAAGCTTAAAAGTCATCCCCAAAGTCTGCTAAGGATTATTGCAAGAGATTACGCAGGGAGAAATCTGTGCAAATTCATTTTCTTTACTCAGTATCAGATGGTAGGGGAAAAAATAATTCCTTTAAACAGTCTTGTTTATATTGAGGAAAAAAGATCTGAAAAACTGAACAAGTAGACATATTCCCCCTCTTTACGATCAAATAGTAATGCCAATGAAGGAGATTCTAATAAAAAACAGAGTTGAAAAAAATCCAAATAAACGCCAACACTGCTATTAAGATTTTTTTTTTAATATGCCATGAGATATTCTTGATTGTATATTTTCCAAAGTACTTTTCCAGCTGCATCTCCCAACCCTTCCAGAAGATTCCGCCAGTCTTTCCAATGCAATAAAAGATGCTGGATTATACTTTTGTCCACCTCCTCTTTTTGAAAGTAATATAATCCTAATGACTTTAATGGTCATACATTCTTATCTAATAAGGAAAAACACTTACAAATATCAGAAACCCAGTTTTGGAACATTTGCATTTCTTTTGAACTGAATCAGCATTTTGTGGGTTTAAAAAAGGCAGCAATTTGAACTCACGACTTACTGACAAACACATTTCTGCAGAGGGATGGGGAAGAGAGGGATAGTGAATGCTGCATTTCTCCATTGGCCCCAAAGTGCTAATTTTACAAAGGGATACATCAAAAGCAAACATGCGATGGTGGCTTTAAAACTTTTACTGCAATGTAACAATGAAGTAAACAGTAATTAGACACCTACCAATTTCTTCCCAAAACAAACCAAAAAAAAAAAATGTAAACAGGAAAATAACTCTGCCTATACTTGTACAGCTTCTCAAATCATGTCCGAAGGGTCTCACATTCGATGATCAAGAAATTTTAAAATCGCAGTAATTATTTTCATTTTAAGAAAAGGTTCCCCTTCTTCCTCCCCCACCGCAAGTATTTAACATGAAAGAATGGGCTTTCTTACACATCAATTCAATATGTATTTGAGCAGCAGCAATAACCATCAATAATTTGGCATTTCTGCTTACAGTTGCTCCAAACTTTTTCCAATTTCACAAAGCCATTATCCAGTGTTGCCACGAAATAGAGACTGTAAATTCTAGGTAGCAAAGATTCTCTCTGAAACCAAAGTTAAGTCAAAGAAATATAAAGCAGGGCATTACACTAAATTTCTGGATCTAGTACACTAAAAAGAGTGAAACCTAGGAAAAGTTACCTACTGTTTTAAAGAAGAAATAAAGACCTGCAAAAGCTGATTTTTGGTTGTATAATATTTTACACACTGTGTGGATTTGCGGCATCTGCTAATTGAAGCAGACATGCACTGTATTTATCCCTGCCCTATATCCTAGATCCCTCCCTCCCCACCCCCAACAATCTACTACCTTATACCAAGTATTGTGGATATGAGCCCAAGTCATCCCAGACAATCCAGTGAACAAAGTTAGTGTAATGCACTGGTGTGAAGTGTGAGATAAAAAAAAAGTCCCTTTCAATCTTCATCAAAGTTTTGCTGTAGAAGAAAATTGGCAGCCAAGTTCTCATTCTTCTCACAAGCAAAATACGCTTGTATCACAAGTCCTTCAGGAAATCCTAGTGCCTTTAACTGGAAGAAAAGAGAGAAAACACACATGGGTTCCAACATAGCAATAGGGGCAGATCAGCATTGAAAATATGAAAGGCACAAAAAAACTCCTGAAGACGTTATGTGAACACATGCCTACCTGAGTATGGATTCACTGTCCAACCCGAGCGGCTAGATGGGAGCCTAGACCTCTTTATCAACCACCGATGAAATTCTCTGTTCCTAGTTAAAGCTATTAGACGAATAGCTCCTCTGCTAACACTCAATGGCACTAACACTAAAAATTAGTTGCTGACTATGATGGTTTAAAAATAAATGACCCTACAGCCTACAGAAATGTGTAAATCAAACAGCTTTTACTATGTAAGGGGGGCGGGGAGATAAAGATGAGAGCAACAGGAGAGGAGTTTAACAACTTCATCCAATTATTTATAAAGAAGGTCAGTCAGGTCAACTATCACTCTCCATCTCCTCACCTTATGAAACACTTCACATACTAGAAAAATGGGTGATCAATTATTAATATTACATGATATATTTTGAGATCAAGACATATGGTGTTCTATTTATATCTGCTTAATTTTTACGGCATTTTAAATGGTGATACCAGCCACTTAAGTTTTGTTTTCCTAGTCTATTACTGTGACTCCAAAATCACTGCTTTTAAAAGTCTTTAAGCACTCAGGTCAATTATCTAATTCACTAGGTACTATATATTTGTCAACCAAGTATTTTTTATGAAGCCTCTGTTCAACTGTCTAAACCACCTGCATTAGACTATTATACCAAGAAATGACCTTAAGTCTCAATTCAGCATGATTAACTATTCATCCATGAAAGGAGAAGATAAAACTCAAAAATGATTTTGTTACCTAGGTCTTGTCCAGATTAAAGCTGGGCTAGCTGAAGTAAAAGGTAGATAGGGCACGATCCAATTATATGCTTCTACAAGGCACACACTTTAGATTCAAAGACACAAATATGCTGAAAGTAAAAGGATGGAAAAAGATATATACCATGCAAACACTTACAAAAAGAAAGCTGGAGTAGCTACATTAATATCAGACAAAATACACATTAAGATTAAAAACTGTTACTAAAAACAAAGACATTTTATGATGATAAACCACCAGGAAGACTTTGTTATAAACACATGTTACAAGAGAGCCCCGAAACACATGAAACAAAAACTGAGAGAACTGAAGGTTCTGGTGATTCAACAGTAGTTGGAGACTTCGTTATCCCCACATTCAATGTCGGACAGAACGACCAGGCAGAAGAAAAGACAAGAAAGCTGATTTGAGCCACATTATGAACCAACTTAACCTAAAAGACATTTACGGAACACTTAACAACAGAAGATCACACGTTCTTTTCAAGTATGTATCAAACATTCTCCATAAAGACGATGTTAGGCCAAAGAACTAGCCTCAATGCATTTAAGAGAATTAAAATTTTGCAAAGTACATTCATTCTCTGACCACAACACAATGAACTCTGAAATCAGCAACAGAAGGAAATTTGGGAAATTCAAAATATGTGGAAGTTAACATAATCCTTAACCAATGGATGAAAGAAGGAATCACAAAGGAAATTAGAAAACACTTGAGATGAATGAAAACACCGCCAAACTTAACTAAAACTTATAGGATGCTGCTGTAGCAGTTCCTTGAGGGAAATTTATAGCTGTAACTATCTATAGTAAGAAAAATCTTAAATAGATAATCTAAGGTTCTAGTTTAAGAAACTAGAAAAAAGAGAAAACAAAATCCAAAGCAACCAGAAGAAGAAAAAGAATAAGGGTTAGAGAGAAAATAAATAAAATAGAGATTAGAAAAATACAATCAGGAAAACCAGAAGTTGGTTCTTTTTTTCTTCAGAGTAACAATACTGACAAATGTTTTAGCTGAACAAAAAGGTGAAAAAAAAAAAAAAAGAAAACCCAGGATTCAAATTACTAACATCAGAAATGTGGGAACACTACTATTGTTTAGAGAAATAAAAACTATTTTAGGAAAATACTGTGAACAATTGTATGCCATCAAATTAGATAACGCTGATGAAATACAAATTCCTAGAAAGACAAAATCACCAAAACTGACTCAAGAAACAGAAAATCTGAATAGCCCTGTAACAAATGAAGAGGCTGAATTAGTAATCACAAAATTTCCCCAAAAGAGAAGCCAGGCCCAGATAATTTTACTGGTGAATTCTACCAACTGTTGAATGAATTAAAACTATTCTTCATAAACTCTTCTAACCAAGAGAGAAGAAGGGAATACTTCCTAATTCATTCTCTAATGAGGCCAATATTAATGATACCCAACCAGACAAAATCATCACACATAAAAAGCTACAGACCAATGCTCCTTATGAATACAGATGCAGAAATCTTCAACAAACATTGGCAGACGAAATCCAGCAACATGTAAAAAGGACTATCCACCACAATCAAGTGGGATTTATCCTAGGAATGCAAGGCTGGTCCAACATACAAAAATCAATGTTATTAATAAAGCATATTAACAAAAAAAGAACAAAACCACACAATCATCTCAACACATAAAAACCATCTGACAAAATCAATACCCTTTTGTAATAAAAACAATCAATAAACTAGAACAGAAAGGAACTCCCTCAACCTGATAAAGGGCATCTAAATCTAGTAAAACCCATAGCTAACATCATACTTAATGGTGAAAGACTTACTGCCTTTTCCTAAGATCAGGGACAAGACAAAGATGTTGGCTCTCACTACTTCTATTCAACAATACACATACACAGAAGGCTGCAAACAGGACAATTAGGGGAGAGAGAGAGAGAGAGACAGAAAGAGACAAAGAGGGACACCTGGGTGGTTCAGTCAGTCAGACCTTTGGCTCAGGTCATGATCCCAGAGTTTTGGGCCGGCATCAGGCTCCTTGCTCAGTGGGGAGCCTGCTTCTCCCTCTGCCTGCCGTTCCCCCCCTGGTGGTGTGCTCTCTCTCTCTGACAAATAAATAAAATCTTTAAAAAAAAAAAAAAGAGAAGAGAAGGGAAGGGAAGAAAGGAAAAGAAAACAGAAGTCAAGAGAAGAGAAGAGAAGAGAAGAGAAGAGAAGAGAAGGCAAGGCATCCGTATTGGAAAAGAATTAAAACTACTTGCAAATGATATTCTACAATTAGGAAATCCTAAGAAACACACACATATTATCAGAATTAATAAATGAGTTCAGGAAGGTTGCAAGTTGTAAGATCAACACATAAAAGTAAGTTGTATTTTTATACAGCTAGCAATGAACAATCCAAAAATGAAATTAAGAAAACATTCCCACTGATAACAGCATCAAAAAGAATAAAAATACTGAGGAATAAATTTAACAAAAGAAGCACAAACCAAAGACTATAGAACATTTCTGAAATTATAAAAAAAATCTAATAATGGAAAGCATCTCATGTTCATGGCTTGGTGAGATTTAATACTGCTAACATGGCAATATTCTCCAAACTGATCTGCAGAAAAAACACAGTATTAAAATCCCAGTTTTTTGTTTCACTTTTCTTACAGAAATCAGACAAGTGGATTCTAAAATTGATATAGAAATGCAAGGGATCCAGAACAGCCAAAACAATCTTGAGAAATGAAAACCAGAGATTTCAAAACTTACTACAAAAAGCCACATTAATTAAGACCATGAGGTAGTGGCATAAGATAAACATATAGATCAATGGAACAAAACTGAAAGCCCAGTAAACCCTCACAATTATGGCCAGTTGATTTTCAAAAGGATGCCAAGACAATTTAATGGAAAAAGAGTAGAATTTTCAGTAAATGGTGCTGGATATCCACAAGCAAAAAATATGAAGTTAGACTCCTACATCTCACACTATAAACAAAAAGTAACTCAAAATAGATCACAGACCTAAATACAACAGGAATTATAAAACTCCTCAGAGAAAAGATAGGAGTAAACCTTTGACTGTGGATTAGGCAACTTCTCTTAGTATGACACCAAAGGCACAAGCAAAAAAAGAAAAGAATTTCTTCTCCAAAACAAAAATCAAGAACGGATATCCCTAACCATTAAAAAAAAAAAAAAAAAAAGCTATAGAACAATTGAGGCAAGTGTCATTCACTCACTTCCCTTATTTGAGGGGGAGAAATATTAGCATGATACATAAAATATCTTTTAAGAAATACATAATTATAAACCTTGAACACTTGAAATGTTTATATCATAAATATGAACAAATTATCTTTCAGATGATTTTCTAAGTATTAAGTTAAAATGAACTTTAACAGATTTCCATCTCAAAACGCTTCAGAAGATAAGATGGGGCAAGTACTGTGATTCCATATTTACAAATATTAACAATGGAGCCTAGAGAAAAACGAATGACTTGTCAGAGTATATCATATAAACTAAGTTACTGCAGTGAACTGGTTGACCTAGTAAGATGGAAACAGAATTATGATATCAGGTTCTGATGGTCAATGTACATATTTTTTATATGTAATTCATATACATATCTATTTTACATTTTAGTGACAGTAGTAAAGTAAAATTTTAAAAAATGGATAATTTTGAGTTAGGCATTCACTTTAAGATCATTTTCCTTCTTTTAAAGATTTTTATTTATTTATCCGAAACAGAGAGCAAGAGAGCACAGGTAGGGGGAGCAGCAGAGGGAGAGGGAGAAGCAGGCTCCCCGCTGAGCAGGGAGCCCACCACCGACACGGGGCTCAATCCCAGGATCCTGGCATCATGACCTGGGCTGAAGGCAGATGCTTAATGGACTGAGCCACCCAGGTTCCCCTCAGGTCATTTTCTTTATAAATTTTAAGACATAAATGAAATCTTTAATTTTTAAAATATGTTTGTAACTATCTTATAAAGCTGACTGGCATTCATTACTAGTCCCTTGGCTAGCACAAAGGCCACGATGTGAGAGCAGGGATGAAAATACATGGTCTTTACAGCAATCCTCAGGACAATGCTGCATCTGGCTCTGTCCAATAGCACTATCTCCAGGGGCAGAAATACTGTGTATCTGTGCTACCCCCACGCAGCAGCCACTAACCCCGTGTGACTACTGAGCATCTGAAATGTGGCTAGTGGACTACGGAACTAAATTTTCAGTTTTACTTCAACTCACCCTTTCTATAGCTTCTTTTTCCTGAGGCGTTACTTGAATGTAGTTCATATGACCACTTCCGGCTTCTGCAATTCCTCCACTGCCACCTCCACCCCCTCCTCCTTGACCACCAGCTTCTTGAACTGGTTCATTTAACATCTGAATAAAATGCTCCTGGTGCTGGCTAATTTGCTGTGGTAATTTGAAGGACAGGAAAAAAAAACAACAACAATACAATGATATAAAGTATCTTCAGGAAACTAAGAATTCTAAACACAAATAGAGAAAGCTAGAATTTTGTAACTGCCTTATTTTTAGACTGATTCTGAATTATTTAATCTTTGGAAGGATGTGATTTCTTATATACTATTAAAGAAACTTGGTACTTTTCAGTGAGGCAAACAGTGAAGAAATAAGAGAATTGAAATTCTCTTCCATAAATGCGTCCCGTCCCCCCAAATCAATGTTAAAAAACTACTTGGGGACTATAAAAAGAAACAAAACTTCTGTATCTTCCATACTAGTAGGTAGTACAACACTGTATAAAACTCAAAATACTTCGTGACTTGAGCATTAAATAAACCCATGGGTATGTCTCTAAGAGGCAATGCTCCACTATAATAAGTGTGGGGAAAAAAGATTTTATGAACGGTTTCTTTGATAAAGAGTTTCTCTGATTCTTTGTTTCCCCAAATTATTATTTGACCAACTTAAATTAAGCCCCCCCCCCTCTTTTTTTTAGTACATCTAATCTACAGCATATTCTATTGAGTGCAGCTCGGAAGAAGAGTTTATAGAGCTTGTGGAGGGGAAGGGAGTACACACAGACTTTAAAAAAGTATGATATACTCTACAAACCCACTTTTGAAATTAACTCTGATTAAATAGTTACCTGCAGTAATTGAGGATTTTCCCGACCTATCTGTTGTAGCAATGCTGGAAGCAGGGAAGGATTCTGTTGAATAATTTGTCTCATCTGTTGAAACTGAGGCTGATTCCGTAAAAATTCAAGGGGATGTCCTAAAAAACACATAAATATTTTTAAACAAAAGCAGCGGGCGCCTGGGTGGCTCAGTTGGTTAGGCGACTGCCTTCGGCTCAGGTCATGATCCTGGAGTCCCGGGATTGAGTCCCACGTCGGGCTCCCTGCTCAGCAGGGAGTCTGCCTCTCTCTCTGACCCTCCCCCCTCTCATGCTATCTCATTCTCTCTCTCTCAAATAAATAAATAAAATCTTTAAAAAAAATCTAAAAAATAAAAATAAAAAATAAAAAATAATAAACAAAAGCAGCAATTACATATACAAAGAGCTGGTTCAATCATAATATTAGACAGCAAACACTGACAAGTAAAAAATATGAGTTCGCAGATGTATATAAAAATGAATAATGACAAAAATCTTTCAACCGTACAAACGTCCAAGTCTTATACTATAGAAATTACTCCTATTAGCAAAGGTAGAGAGTACAGAACACTGAAAGAACGAAGTTTTCCTACAATTGTCCTGGGCAGTCAATATCATCAAATAATGAGAATTTATGACCTGCATGCACTTTATCAAAATAAAAAGTACTAATACTGTTCCTAAGAAAAATACATACCTAGAACTAACAAAACCAAAAAATCCACCTATAATACAACCCCAACCTTTAAGGAAAAAAACAAAACAAAACAAAACAAAACAAAAACAATCTGAGCTTGAATTCCTGAGAAATTCTAAACCAAATAAATCAAAGATAATATTTAAAAGAGTTCAGATATGCAGATCAGAAGCAGTTTTATTAATACAAACTTAAATTACAATTAGAAAAACAATTTTGGTTATTACCATTAAACTTCAAACATTTATAACCTATAAAAGCTTGAGATAAATAAGCTATAAGTAGGGGCGCCTGGGTGGCTCAGTCGTTAAGTGTCTTCGGCTCAGGTCATGATCCCAGGGTCCTGGGATGGAGCCCTGCATTGGGCTCCCTGCTCAGCAAGGAGCCTGCTTCTCCCTCTCCCCCTCTCCCTGCTTTGTGAGCACACGCTCTGTCAAATAAATAATCTTTAAAAAAATAAAATAAATAAACTATAAATCAATCGAGTACTAATACATTTAGAACTCTTTAGTCCAAAATCCCATGACAATAATAAATATTAAGGATGCCAAGATAGAACTTGCAACTTTTTGGGGGTAGTCGTGGTTGTCTGATTATACTACGTGAAACCAAAAATTGCATATAATTATGTTTTTGAGGTTACTAATGAATTATGAGAATTTTTTAGATGTTATTTCCTAAAATATCCAAATTAAAATGGCCACATGAGTATGAGAAGTACCCTTCCTTCTGTGACACTGGTTTTACAGATGAAGAAAATGAGACTCAGAAACTAAATTAATCCATTAAGGGCTGCTAAATGGGACAGCAGTCCATATCTGAACCAAAGCAGTGGCCTCTTCTTCCCATTCTTATGCCAATTCCATAGAAATGAAAGCCTGTCCTCTGGGAGACTGTACACAAAATGCTCAGGGCTTGTTGTCAACTAGAGCTGACGGTCGTAAGAGCTAGGAAAAGCATCAAAGAAGGGCCTCTTCAAAATGATCAGTTTAAATTACTTTATCACTACCGTACACAGAACGGAGACTGAAGGAGAATGAAGTAACTCCTGGGCCCCCCACAGGCTCCAGGGCCTCCTCTGTAGTCACACCTTCGGCAATGGAAGGGTGGGTGCCGACCAGTAAAGAAAGAGAGGTGAATTCAAGATTGACTTTCACCTCTAGACCCAAGTCTTCAAACTTCTCAGTGCTTTATTTCTTTGGTTGTATAACAGCCACTAAGATAGTCCTGGCTTTGAAATGACACATACTTTATATGACATTCATAGGGAAAGAGAAGAGACAAGGTGAGCAAACGTTCTAAATCGCTTCAGAATGTTAACACAAAATGCGAACTGGGAAGCATCTCTTCCTCCGAACAGGCTAAACAGAATGTGCCCTTTGCCCAAACTACGGCGCCGAGGTCTCAGTGAGAAGGTATGCTATAGCCCCTGGAGAGAATTTGTTTGGGGCCCTTCTCTAACATCAATGGATAGAAAACTTGTGTGAAGAGTCCTTCAGATGCTCCAGGAAAAAGCCTCAGCTCACACGACAAAGCCAGGACTGTGCCCCGCACCGCCCCAGCCCACTCTAACCTCCAGGGCTCGCTGTGGTTGTCGATGCCGTCGTCGTCGCCGCAGCGGCCGCCACCGAAGACGGAGGAGCCCCAGTGCTGACCGCAGGAGGGGTGTCCACCACAGCCTGACTCTCTCTATCTCCGGGGATCCCCTACAATACAATTTCCCTGCTTTAAAATAGCTTGTCATTCAAAGTTAGTTCAATACTATACAAAGTAAAAGATTTATTGATCTATTTAATGTGCTTGTCTAATTTCCAAAAGCATCAGATGTCTGCTTCTATTAAAAGTAAAGGATTAAGACTTATCTGAAAGCTGCATATATTCAAAGTGCATTAGAAATAACATGAGTGTGGTCTAGAAGAACCCATACTGCAATAATGTAAGGCAGCACTGTCTAGCAGAATTTTCCATTATGACAAAAATGTTCTGTATTTGTGCTATCTAATAAAATACTCATTAATCTCATGTAGCTACTGAGAACTTGAAATGTGGCTGCTACTAAAGAAACTAATTTTTAATACGCTTTTAATTTTTTTAAATTAAAATAGCTACTTGTCCTCAATAGTACTTAATAGCTATTTTACTAGACAGTGCAGATCTAAGGTATAAAGAGATTTGTGATTTAAAACATGCATAAAACAATGTTTACCTATAGCAACACATTATATCTAACATCAAAGATCCTAAGTTTGTATATAAGGAATAACGTACATTTTTAAAAGGCTATTAAAAATTTTTTAAATATCAATACAAACCTTATTAAAATTGGATATATTTGGTTTTTATGCTATATATTACTCTAATTTTTGAATTTCATAGAAACTCACCAGCTCTGCCATAGAAAGGTTTGCATTTGTAACCCTAGCCTTAAAATTATCCAAAGAAACAGGTTTTGATGCATGTACAGTTCTGAAATGAACCCGGGGGGAAAAAAATCTAATGGAAACAGAGCAGGTGGCAACAGTGGCCAAGCAAGAAGGATCTCCTCTATTGACCCATGGTTCTGAGAAAGCGTCCTCCAGAAAGTATCACATACAAAAAATGAACACTGATTATTCAAAATTTACAAAAGTAGATATAAGAACCTTAAATATTTCAGTATTTTCTAAGTTTATAGCATTTGTCTTCTGAAGTTATTAGAATTTAAAACTGCACTGAGACTTCTGGAACACTATTTTGATGCATGATTTACAAGACTTTTCATATACAACCTATTAAAAAAGTCTTTATGAAATCCACATAGATTGTGAAGGAAGAGAATGAAGAAGGAAATATTACATTTGGGTAAGAGATGATAATGGTAAATGCTTCCATTTCCCAATAAATCAGAAGTCAAAATCATAAACATATAACAAATTATGCATAATGAGCCACATTAAGGGTAATGGCTGCCGGCATTAGATGTCACTTCAGGCATTAGAAACAAATGTTTCTGAGAATCCCTTGACTACTACTGATAATAAATAAGCTAACAACTCAAATGCCAATGGAACCAGGCAAATAATATCATACACTAAATTAAATGCAACGATGTTATGTCAGGTAACAGGGAATGGATGGGAGGAAGATAATGAATTAAATAGTCTATGATCTAAAATTTTTCCTAAACCCTTGCAAAAATCCAGAATCCAAGTTGTCCAGACAAACCAGCTCTCTGAATTAATTAATTAGTTAATTAATTAATCTTCCAAGTTTTTATTTAGGATGTCAGTTTTTTTTCTTTTTCTTAGCTATCTGAATTTGTAAGTGAAATCTCTTCATTTTTAAAAGTTGCCGACTAATTACAAAAATGTACACAGTACAAGACAAATAAAATTGGGCTTGGGCTTCCAACTTGATACTTTTGCCCTCAACAGTAAGTATACCCAGGAAGGGTGCCTGGGTGGCTCAGTTGGTTAAGCATCTGCCTTTGGCTCAGGTCATGATCCCAGAGTCCTGGGATCGAGTTCCGCATCGGGCTCCCTGCTCAGTGGGAAGCCATGCTTCTCCCTCTCCTTTGCCTGCAGCTCCCCCTGCTTGTGTTCTCTGTCAAATAAAATAAAAATAAAATCTTAAAAAAAAAAAGTACACTCAGGAGTATGCTGGCCATCAAAAAAGCTACTAAAATGGTAGATCAGATTTAAAAAATCTGTCCCCTTCTACCCCCAAACACACAAACTGCCATCCTTTGAGGATAACATGAATGGGGTAGCAAAGAGAGAGCCAATTTTACAACTCATTTAGCTATGTTGTTTCCTAACTAAAAATCACATCAAAATCTTTTGGAAGAGGTTACATTTTACCAACACAAAATATTAACAAACTAAGAAAAATAAAAGCATTACGTAAATTACTAGCATATATTCTCATTCTCCTGTGAATTGTTATTGTTCCTTAAAAATCTTTGATATTTTGGTATTAAACTACAATAAACAGAGTGAAATATTTCTCACCATTAAAAGATACTCCACTGCTCTGTCGGGGTTGTTGAAACTGGCTCTCAGGGCTGCGATCACTTGCTCTCGTTCATATCCCATCGACATGATCTCAGTTACCATATTCTCGTAAGACTGACCTGTCACTAAGAAAAGGTGTGTGGGGTGGGAGGAAGGGAAAGAAAGGAAACATTTAATAAATATGCACTTCCTGCCTATTTCTTGAGTGTATATGTATGTAATGTTTCAGGCACTACAGGACTAGGGGTACAAAGATGAATAACAGTACAAACTACAACATATATGTGGTAGGTAGAATAATGCCCCCCCTGCCAATCCCCAGAACCTATAAATATGATAGGTTACAAGGCAAAGTGGAATTAAGGTTGTTCATCAGCTGACTTTCAGATAGGGAAATTATCCCAGATTATCTTTGTAGGCCCAATGTAATCACAAGGGTCTTTAAAAGTAAAAGGAAAACAGATGGGAGGGTCAGAGAAACAGATGTTAGGACAAGAGGAAAGAAGCAAGGTCACAGATGCTATGCTGCTGCCTTTGATGACAGAGGAAGGGGCTCTAAGCCAAGGAAGGCGGGCAGCCTCCAGAAGCGTTGAAAGGACACAGAACAGATTCTCCCCCTAGAATGTACAGAAAGAATGGTAGCCCAGTGATTTAGCCCCTTGATTTTAGTCCAGTGAGGACTATGTTAGACTCCTAACTTACTGTGCCTTAAGATAATAAATCTGTTGTTTCCTACCAGGAAGTTTGTGGTAAGTTATCAATAATCGTAGCAACAGAAAATTAACACAGTATGTTTAGTAAGTACAATAAAAACATCAGATACAAATGTATGACAAATATAGAACAGAATTAGCAGGTCAGAGAAGGCAACCTGGAAGAGACAGATGAACTAATTTTTGAAAACAAGGAGGGACGTTTCAGGCAATCGATTCTACTGCAACAACTTCAGTTTTCCTTTGACATCTTTTATTATCAAAGCGGAGGAAAAAAGGAGGCTAGAAGCAGGAAAGTCAGACTTTCATATACCATACAGAGCTGATGCAATGCCCCAAGCACTACTATCCCAGGAAGTCACTTCCCACAGGCTGTCTCCAACCCAAACTTGCTCTTCACAGAAATGGCAGACCACAGACAACAGTCCAAAAGAAAGCCAACTCTCTATACTAAACTTACCTCACTTAAGCCATTTTTTCTTCTACTTCTCTTCTGGGTACCATTCCCTTTCTTGTCTCCTCAAAGAACTGGACCCTTTAGTTATCCTCTCTCTTGTCCACCTCCCACCCTTCACTCTCCACTTAATTATCCTGATCAGCAGTTAACTATACCCTAGAATGTCATCCTAAAAACAGAAGCCTACCCCCTTGGTCGCATCTCAATTCCTCTTTGAGGAACTGGTCCACCTGTCTGCTGCCTTCCCCTTCCAGCCATAGCTATCTGCACAGGCTGTGTCCACTTCTCACATTCCACCCACTCCTTAGTCAATATTGATACGTGATTTTGATCTCGAAAGATGTCCCCCTCAGATGTACCCCACCAGTATCTGACTTCTCCCTTTCAATAACTAGCACCTCTATCCACCCAAGCACAAGAGCCAGGAACCCTGGTGACTGCCAAGTTCCCTCTCCCTTCCCTTCCACACTTTATCTACCAGCGTATCTGCTAGGTCCTATCTCTGAATTACAGTGCAAAATTACCTACTTCCCTCTTTGTCCACTGCCTTCACTGAAGACCAGGCCACAACAATCTCTCACCTGGATTACACTCTGCTTCCTCTCCTGCCCCCGAGCCTATAATCTATTCTGCCAGCTGGAAAAGCAAGCTTTTTAAAAAGAAAACCTCATCTCATTTCGGGCTCCCAATACTCAACAATCTCTGTACACCACACTCCAACTAAGCTGATGTTTTCCAGTTCACTTCACAAGTCATACCTTTTAGAACCAGTCCCAGAACCTCTACACACTTACACACACACGCGTGCGCGTGGCTTCTCTGAGGGTCAATTCCTTCACAGGCTCCAGTTCTCAATTTAAACTGAGAATACATCCCAGAGATGTACTACCTAACTATCCTAAGTATAAGTACCTTCCGTTTTTCTTTATGGAAGCCATTAGTTTCCTTAAAATCATTAATCATGATTTGCAATTTACTTTGTTTCACCCTTCTTTCTTTCCCCCATGTAAATGAAAAGCTCAACTGTGAAAGGGACCCTGTCATTTTGCATCACCATTTCCCTGGCACAGGTGAATGATTTATTTTTTTCTGCAAAATTTTCAATAAAGGCATTTAATAGCTATGAAAGTATATTTTTAAAAAACTAAGTATCATTGAGGAAATGTGGTATTTTTTATCTTGTTTAATGATTTTTCCTTTCCCCTTCCATAAAGGACTTGTTAATGTATTTTTATTTCTTAATTACCCATTCATATGATTCTAGCACTACACTATTTTGACATGATGTTTCTCATTTAATTCTCACAATAACTCCATGGGAAAGGTTTATTGTGATCATGGTTTAACAGTGGCTGGTAAGTCATGGTACAGACTAACAGGCTGTCAGAGTACAGAGCTCCCACACCTAGTCATCAAGCTACACCTCCTAAAATCATGCCTCCTAATTAATCAAGTTATAAAACTCAAAAAGAAATGCCTATAAGCAGTATGATACTCTTCAGATCGTAATAGTACAAGGGCAAATGACTCATAGGAAAACTAGAGACAATGGACAACACAAGGGAGAGCCAAGAGGCTCTCTTAAGGAAAATAGGGAAAAAAACAAAACTGATTTTGACAGACTAAGTGTGAAGGGGAGATGAAAAAGCATTATCCAATAGTTAAAGCTGGGACAGAAAGGTACGTTCACTGCAAGTACCATAACAAGCAACAAGACAGAGATGGGACCCGAAAGGGCTTCAAACTGGAATAAAGATAAAGTGTAAGATTTAGTAACATTTTATACCCATTTCACAAACATTTTGTAATAAACCTGTACACAGTTCAAACTTTGTTAAGACCTCGTTTAAAATTCACATTTGGAAAATTATCTGCTTTAACCCAAAGAATATGCTTAACTCTAATAGTACAATTTAAAGGATTCAATATATAACACATTAACTCACAAAGTCTTTAGTAACATTAATCAAATAATTATCTAAATCATTTAACAGCTTGATTATAAGCAACCATGAAAATGAACACATTTTCATGATCTAGAAAAGTGCAATTTGAACCTCTTCCCTATCTCTTAGAAGGTTATTTACAATGTAGATACTTACCAAGTGCACTTGTTGCATCTTCAAAAAGGTTCGACCGAGAAGAATCTCCTGATGTACTGCAAAAGGTTTTTAGAAAACTGTATATCAGAAAGTATATAAAACTTACATTAGTTTAGTAACTGTCCAAATTTTAAAGAGACTGTTTGATTTTAATTAAATGTAAAGGTCTGGCTACAGTGTTTAAACCATCTTCTACATTAAACCCCAAAGCTTTTTCCATAACATTTATGGCTTGGGAAGAATTTTCAATCTTTATATTCATACTGTTCTGCAAATGCATCACTTTAAATGTCCAATGACATAAAATAACAACTGAACGGAATGCTTACCATTTAAGGAATACAAAAAAGATAACGCACAACTATTTCCCTAAAAGAATTTACAATGATAGGTTAAATAATCTGTAAGTCAAGTCACAATAGAAAAAATACCAAACAGTACAAGTATCCTCCACTTTTCCAAAGTTCACATTCCACCACATTTTGCTTTTACAAAAGATCTACATTAGTACCCGTCTTCATTAACTAGAAGAAATCTGAAGAGAATTTTCTCTGAAGAGGACTTCTGCTTTTATGAGAAAAGTGAAAGTAGTGTTTCATTTGTTTTGCGGCAAGCCTTTATAGAGGAACACACTCTGAGAAGCAAGAGCAGCCCCCAAACTCCTTCCCCAGAACTGTACTTAAGCATCTCAGCATCAATTCTGAGCTGTGTCCGTGAGCATCTGTGCTTCATCTAAATGTATTTTGTGCCTCCATTACCAAGGTGTGTTCTAACATATCCGAAAAGCCTCAGAGGTTATTTTACGGGTCTGGGAATGATCAAAACTTTTTCCACATAAATTTATGGTAATTGCTTCTTTGCTTTATGCCACTTCAGCTTACAAAAGGTTTCACAGGAATGCTCTACTTTCCAATAGTGGGGGAAACCTGTACACAATAAACAGCCGAAGTAGAAACCACATTAGGCTGGAAAGGCCTGGGAAATCTTTACATAACAGAATTTCAGTTAGGTCTTATAGGTAAGTTTTCAACACAGGAGCTGAAAGAAGACATTCAAGTCAAGGAACATGGCAAAAGCAAAAAACGGAGGGGTGTGATAAAATCCAAGTTGTAACCGAAAGTAAACCAATTTAAAAGGACTAAGTTTCTGTTGGGCAACTGCAGAAGATGAGTCTGGAAAACAAAGTAGACAAAAACAAGATTATGAAAGACCATGAAGAGTAGGCCAAAGAAAAATAAGTTGAAATTTACAAAGTAGTAAAGGTAGCAGCTAGCAGTTTAGATTAAAACATACATACAACACAACACACACTTATACCTCTGTCCCAGTTTTAAAAAATAAAACACAGTACGGGCGCCTAGGTGGCTCCATCAGTTAAGCGTCCAACTCTTGATTTCGGCTCAGGTTATGATCTCAGGGTCGTGAGATCGAGCCCCATGTCAGGCTCCACACTGAGCGTGCAGCCTGTTTAAGATTGTCTCCCTCTTCCTCTGCACTCCCCCCCCCCCAACCTGTACCACAGGAAGAGCAAGAGATATATCTAAGTTTGAATTCATAAATTATTTTCTAATCCTCAGTTTCTTCATCAATACAATGATGTCAACAATAATATCCATGTATCCCAAAGTGCTGTATGTAGGGTTACTGCTGGTTAAGTGTTTAGCAAAGTGCCTGGCATCATAACATCCAATACGATTAAACTAATTTTCTGGTGTAATTTTTAAATTATCTTCATTAACTAGATAATAAAGCTAGCTTATATAGAAGGCAAAACTTTGAAAAAATTATATATAGAAAAAATAATTCTCTTGCCCAAGACCCCTACCCAGGGAACAATCACTACCACCAGCTTCTATATAACGATGACTATGTCTTACCTTTGGGTGTGTTTTATTTAACTTAATTATCTCATGTTAGCATAACAATGACCTCAAATTTTCCCCACAGACACAGTATTCCACTTAATTGACCAAATCAAGCTATTCATAGGGAATTTTTAGTTTGGTTCTCAACTTTTAAATTCTTTCTGTAGTCAAATTTATCAGTTGTCCCTTTTATGACTTTTTTGATTAAGATTATTTTTATTTTTCCCATGTTCTCTAGTTTATGGTTTCCTTTTATGTTGATTCTTTCTCTACCTAGAATTTATTTTTATGAGTACAAGGTAAGTGATCCATCTTCCCTCTTCCATCTGGCTAGGCATTAATCCCAACAGCATCTTCCCCACGGAGTGGTTTGAAATTACATCTTTATCTTACATTAAGTCCCAGGTATGTACTCTGGTCTGTTTCTAGACTACCATCTATTTACCTAAGCAGTCTTTCTAGTAAGAGCCATTGTAAATTATTACAATCATTTACCACCATGTATAATACACTTTACTACCTGGCAGGATTAATCTCCTTCATTCCAGTTCTCTAACAGGATAATTTATGCTGTTCTGCACACTGCTTTGAAATTTCTTCTTACATATCTCAGATAAGAGTGAGGTAGGGCCGAACCACAATTCTTCAACTTTGATTCCCCTTCAGCACTTCTCCTTCCCCATCTGCAGTTTTCAGTGTGCTGTCCCCTTGCTACTGTTCTTCTACACATTACTATACACAGCCACAGAATATGTTGTTTTGTAGCTTTTGCTTGGTTTATGGTTATTGCCCATATTGTTTTGTAATCTGTTTTTCTCCCTGATAACAAAGCCTTGAAACCACATTCACTCCATATGATACCTACTACATACTTTAACTGGCCGGCAGTATTGGACATTAGGGCTTCTCAAACTTTAGGAAGCCCAAGAATTTACCAGGAGAGCTTGCTAAAATACAGATTTCTGGGATCCACCCCCAGATAATTCTAATTTAGGTCAGGGGTTTACTTTCAAACAAACTCCCACTAATGCTGATGCTGCTTACTATCACTTTGAGTAGCACTGCTCTCTAATATGAATAAATTACAGGTCAAGTCATTCCCTTACTAATGCATTTAGGTTGGTTCCAATTTGCCTTTAACTATAAATAATGTAGTCTTGTGCACATGCGCAGTTTCTCTAAGGTAAAGATAAACAAATAGAATTTGCATTGTAACTGGTGGTTTTTAAAGAACAAAATTGGCCTAAAGACACAAACGCCTATTAATGAAATGTCAGGCCAGTGGTGATGAATAAACTTTCCGGTATCCCTCAAATTTATACCAACATGTCTCTCGACAATTATCTCACTAAGTTTCGTGCTTTATAGGACACTCCACGTTGTACAATACAGATGAAAGGACTAAGGCACATTTAAGCAGCCAGTTTTCTGAGCTTCTCTCATCCTTCCTTTCCCATGTTATCCTTCTCTAAGGTGATAATGTGGAGAAATAAAAATAAGCAGTTGGTGTATAAGGCCAAACCAAGTAAGTAACTCTAGCATCTGCTCTCTGTATCACTGACCATCTACTGATTTATGCAACTTCTGTAAGTCTGAAAACGTAATACTGACTCTTGAGAATGCGTAAATGAAACTGTACCCCAGAAAGAAATTTTAAAAAGAGATAATAAAGAAATTTGGATAGATCATATTAGCACATTAAAATATACTGATCAATTCTGAAATTCTCACTATGAGCTTTTCAAAGAGCTGAAAACATTTAAGAAAATAAAATATACTGCACTGAACGAAGACATATTTAATTACAGTTACAATATTTATATGATCTGGAAAACCAATGTGTTAAATTTGTTCAGTTCCCTCCCATACACAGAACTGATGAACAACCTTTTGATAGAACAGCTTAACCTGAGTCTAGGTTCTCTCCCACTAGGTAAGAGTGTTGAATGCATTTCTAAATATACATGGGAGAAGCATCAAGTTAGGCAACAGTGTCTCAATGCCTAAAGCAAAGTTCAGCAAGCAGGCATAGATAGGGGAAGCATTTTATTACCTGAGCCTATGCTCTCCTCGTAGGGAATCAATTCCCTGGAAAGAGGCCCTAAGTGACCAATTAATCAGATGACTCAAACCTCTCCAAACACTGTGGACTGAGTCAGACACAGTAACCAGACATAAAGGCAAACACTAAAATGAAGGATCCTAATTTTTTTCTAATCATTGTTGTATTTATCACAAACATGCTTTCCTATCAGTGTTTCCAACTCCTGTATAATCTCTACTCCATCTGGTTCTGATTCCGAGGACTTTAACTACTGCCACTGAGGTCCCAAGCTGTACTGAAGTCACAAAAGACAAACAGTGCCAGTGCACACTGGACTTAATACTACCCATGTTCTCAGATAAAGGAGAAATTCTCTATACATGTCCACCCAAAAGAACCAAAGCACTTGTTTTGGTTATTTTATTTATCCTTGGGGGGAAAAGAACCTTTGTCATAAACTACTCAATACTCCTGCCAACTTCCCACAAGAAAATATTTCTTGGGCGCCTGGGTGGCTCAGTTGGTTAAGCGACTGCCTTCAGCTCAGGTCATGATCCTGGAGTCCCGGGATCGGTCCCACGTCGGGCTCCCTGCTCAGCAGGGAGTCTGCTTCTCTCTCTGACCCTCCCCCTCTCATGCTCTCTATCTCATTCTCTCTCTCAAATAAATAAATAAAATCTTAAAAAAAAAAAAAAAATTAAAAAAAAAAAAAGAAAGTATTTCTTGCTCCTCAAATATCCTGCACCTTTTCCTTTGTTTTAAAGATCTACACTGGTAAAATTTAAATTTCTACAAAAGTTCACAAAAATATAGATAAAACAGTGGAAAATTCAAACAATCCATATGTTCAACAAAAGGTAGTAGGTCACTATGCACAATAGTTGATACTTAACTCTGCTGTGAACATGTGCTATTTCACAGCTTTTACATTCATTATTTCATTTAATCCTTACAACAACTCTAAGAGATAGGTCCTATTGTCATCCACTTTTTTAAAAAATTTATTTATTTGACAGAGAGAGACACAGCGAGAGAGGGAGCACAAGCAGGGGGAGTGGGAGAGGGAGAAGCAGGCTTCCCGTGGAGCAGGGAGCCCGATGCAGGGCTCGATCTCAGGACCCTGGGATCATGACCTGAGCTGAAGGCAGACGCTTAACGACTGAGCCATCCAGGCACCCCATGTCATCCACATTTTACAGATGAGGAAAATACCCAAAGATATTATTTTTCTAAGGTAAAGTGCCAACAAATGTCAGATCCAAACACAATGCTACGCAGCAACTGGAAATATTTAGTGGCATGGAAGGATATTTACAATATAAATGACAATGATCAGAAAAGAATATAGATCAAATATAAATAATGATTAGGGGTCAAGGTCAAATTATTTATAATGTCAAACTATAATAAAATAGCAAGTTATTTTTATTCTTTTTTTTTTTTTTTTTTTAAAGATTTTATTTATTTATTTGAGAGAGAGAGAGAGATAGCGAGAGCAGGAACACAAGCAGGGGGAATGGGAGAGGGAGAAGCAGGCTTCTTGCCGAGCAGGGAGCCCGATGTGGGACTCGATCCCAGGACCCTGGGATCATGACCTGAGCCGAAGGCAGACGCTTAACGAATGAGCCACCCAGGCGCCCCGAGTTATTCTTATAAGTCATTTGTATTTCTTAATTTTTCTACACAAAATAAATAATGACTTTGACCCTCTTTCCCCTCCCCCTGCGGGAAAAAAATGCAGAGTATACAAATTTGGATTATGGAAATTTAAACAGGCACAAGCATGCTGTTTAGTCACAATTCAATGTTTAGAAAAAGTTTAACGTAGCAGAAACAAAGTTTGATCAAAACAATCATCAAAATAAATACTCGCGTTAAGTTCTTGTCATGAACTTGTGTTGAGATATGATTTCCTAGACTGTAGGTCTTACCTGTCAGTTGCTGTTGGACTCGTGGCCACAGGGGTCTCTGCTGGCTTTTCTGCAGGCTTCTCTGGTTGCGCCGCACTAGCAGGTGCAGGTTCAGAAGATGCTGTCGTTGGTGCTGGAGTGACGGATGCAGGGGAAGGAGTGGGAGCCAGAGTGGGCGCAGGGGCTGGGGCCTGAGCCACAGCTGGAGCTGTGGAGGAGCTAACTGTGGTAGTGGTGGCAGGATTTGACTGCTGGGTTGTAGCTGGTGCTGGTGTTGTCACTGCTTTGGGCTAAACAAATTAAAAAAGTAAAACAATGGATTATGATAAAATACATTACCTGATCTCTAAGTAGACTGTACGGTTATAGGAGGCTACAAACGTAACAATAACACAAACTTGTAACTTGAAAATAATTTCATAAAGTAACGTAATAAGTGATCAATATTATCCATCTGAATCACTACTTAACGTTACTCTTTCAAAGCCAATGACAGCATATGTATTATCTATCAACCTTAATTAGCTTTAGCTAATAGTTTCAGTCTTTGTTATCAAGTTAATACGAAAAAGAACCAAAAGCAGCCACTACTCAGAAATATACAGAATGTGTACTGAGAAAAAGAACCATGTAATTACTGTCCCACCACCCCCAAGCACTACACTTTAAGTTCCTTGGTTATAATTTTCAAGTATTTATTGTCATTTAAAAGCGTCACCAAAATAACTTTGATTTGAGCTGGTATAGAGCACATTGGAGAAAGAGTGGCCTGTGCAAGGTAGGGCAGGGGAATTAAAAGAAATACTAGCAGCGTTCATTCCCTCCTTTCTTTATTCTAAGAGCCCTGTGTTAGGCCTGTAACTTTTAAACTGCCAATACTCTGCAAATTATTAATGTTCTAAAACTCCAGTCTAGATGAAATGAAATTTAAATGCATTACTATGCTCATTTATTTCCCTTAAGATTACTTGTGATCAATATAATACAGTCACATTCCATGCCCTCAAGGTCTCTGTTGCCATAGAGCTATTTAAGCCTCATTCTAAATGGTATCAAACCCATCTGCTTTTTGAAGTTTTTCTGCTTACTTTTGATCTAAATAGCTTTTTCCTGTCTCTTCTTTATAATAAGGTCATTTCTCATTGCTTCCATAATGCCCAATTCTTCCCCTTCTAATAGCTGGCTTCTATTAACTTGAAAATAAAATAACCGCAAATATCATTAGAATCCTATGTAAAATAAGAAAAGGCTTGGCTCTAAGTAGCTATTCTTCAAATGCATGGATCTATTCTGAGACCTATCCTGCTTAATTCTTAGCTATGTTCTAAATAATCAAAGTTATTATAATACTAAAGGAAATAACACCAATAACATACATATCCAAATATGTGGCTACCACATTTTCCATTATGTACTATACATAAACTAGATGAGACAATGGAATATTATTCAGCCCTAAAAGGACACAAATTCTGGCATGTAGCTACAACATGGATGAACCTGGATGACATTATGCTAAGGGAAATAAGCCAGTCACACAAGGGAAACACTGTATGATTCCACTTATATGAAGTATGTAGTTAAACTCATAGAAAGTAGAATAGTGGTTACCAGGGACTGGGGGGCAAGGGAAATGGGAGATACTATTTAGTGGGTATAGAGTTCTAGAGACAGATGGTGATGATGGTTGTAGAACATGAATGTACTTAATGCCACTGAACTGTACAATTAAAAATGGTTAAACTGGTAAATTTTGTGTTATGTATATTTTATCACAGTTAAAAATACTAGACTGAGACAAAGTTTCCTCAGATGATTCTGTTCCTCTATATGTAAAGTTTAACATTTAGTGAGTATAAGTGCTTTAATATAACAAAATCACTATGGTTCTTAATGGATTAAAAACTTTTAAATCCAATACCTATGTTTAGCTGCTTTTTCTCAGGACAAAAATATGCAGTTAATTAAAATTTACTTGCTCAACTATTTTCTACTGCATATAGTACCTTAAACTTACAAAAAAAATCCTCATTTATTCTTTCAGTCTTTGATAAACTGTTTTCCAATTACTTTTTTTTTTTTTTTTTTTTTTAAAGATTTTATTTATTTATTTGACAGAGAGAGATACAGCGAGAGAAGGAACACAAGCACGGGGAGTGGGAGAGGGAGAAGCAGGCTTCCCGCCGAGCAGGAAGCCCGATGTGGGGCTCGATCCCAGGACCCTGGGATCATGACCTGAGCCGAAGGCAGACGCTTAACGACTGAGCCACCCAGGCACCCTTCCAATTACTTTTTTAAACTTATTTTCAGTGTCACAAGTATCACTGTTCTTCTCAGATTACGACAACTCAATCCTAAAAATTCATGTCATGAGTACCACCACATCCCTATTTAACTCTCCACTGCATGCTTATGTATCTTTAAACAAAAATATAACAGAACCTCTGAAAGAACCCGAATTCATTCTCTGCCTTAGAGAAAACTCTGACTTTTATAAACTGTCCCAAATATATTTCAATCCAACAAGTCACAAAAATATTCCCTTTAAAAAACTTCCTCAAGGGGCGCCTGGGTGGCTCAATTGGTTGGTTAAGTGTCCGAATCTTGGTCTGTCATGATTTCAGAGTCCTGAGATTGAGCCCCACGTCCAGCACTGCACTGGGCAGAGAGCCTACTTAAGATTCTCTCTCTCCTTCTGCCCTTCCCCTCTAAAAAACACCACCAAACCAAAACCTTTCTCACAACTATCATTCTATCATTTCTTCAGCTGCCTTTTCCTTTTTTAGCATCTAAAAATCTACCCCCTCAACTAAGGAATATCACTGAAATTATGAGTTTACATGCCTTTTCTGCCTGAGGAGTCAAGTCAGATCTAGTACATAATTTAGCAAGTCCCTTTAAGGCACCCTTATTAAAAACACAAAATAAGAACTATTTACTCAATTACTAAGAATCACACTTTAAATTACTTAATTACCGATTTTACTACTCCAGCAAAACTTAACAATTTTTACATGACCTTTTATTATCTGTTTCATTTAAAGTTATGTTTAAGCTATAAATGTACAAAATAATTAACTTTATGGCTGACTCAAAGTAGACTGTTAAAACCTTTAAATAACAGTTAAGTACCTGCCATATGGATGTGCACAAACTATATACACAGTTGGGATCATTATTTAAAAAAAAAAACCCAAAAACCCAAAAAACCCTCATATGCATAAAGATATACAGAACAAGGCTCAAACTCACTTTTGTCACCATAACCACCACGAAGTTTTTTTCGTCAATTTTATATTCTTTTAGAGCAGTATCATCATTGAGGATTTTGCCTAGTACATTAAGAAAAAAAGAACACATCATTTGAAGCCCCATAACCTTTGTCTTACACATTAACTGAAGTTAAAATAATCACCAATGTCAATTCTATCAATTAATACTTTCCCCAAAGAAAAACATTAACTAATCAGCCAAGATAAATATAAACGGAAATATAATCGGGTGAAAAGGCACTAACATTTGACTGAAAGATATCAAACACAAACACCGTATATATTTCTGAAAGACTCAATCTGTATACACAATTTATAAGATGACAATTTCTAAAACCAAAGACTGTCACTGTAAGCAAGAAGATGGCATATTACTTACAATATTTAATTCATACCTGCATAAATTAATTTTTGACCTGCTACAGGAAAGGCATCTTTCCCCTTTTCAGATTCAATCTTCTCTTTCAGTGCCTTCACCTACAGGAAAAACAAAGATTTTTTTCTAAAAAGTCTAAACAACAAATGACAATCCAGAATTTGAATAAATAATGCAAGGTAAAATTTTATGCATATTAATTATTAAATATACTTCCAAAAACTTAAAGATCCTGTCTTTACAATATTATATCAAAAAGACTCATTCTTAATACATATCGCTAGGCATAAAAGGGGCGCCTGGGTGGCTCAGTCCTTAAGCGTCTGCCTTTGGCTCAGGTCATGATCCCAGGGTCCTGGGATCGAGCCCCACGTCGGGCTCCCTGCTCCACGGGAAGCCTGCTTCTCCCTCTCCCACTCCCCCTGCTTGTGTTCCCTCTCTCGCTGTTGTCTTTCTCTGTCAAATAAATAAATAAAATCTTAAAAAAAAAATACATATCGCTAGGCATAATAGGTATAAACTTTGTTTTACCACAGATGCTAGACATACACAGATTAAAAAGAAAAAACTTTACCAGTTGACTTGATAAATCCATTCAAAATAAAGATTTCAACATCAGAAAGTTTTGATTCTCATTATAGTTTATGGCCTTATTTCCCACAGAGTAAAAAAGTAAAGAAAAACTCTCTAACCTAAAAGGCCTAAGAAATGAAATAGTCACTTCTACAATAATAATAGAAGTTAAATATGAATGTTAAATGGCAAATGATTCACTTTAAAAGTGGGATACGTTTCATTATAATCACACCCGAGGGAGCTTAAAGACCAATTAAAACAATTTCTGGGGATGTGGCGTGAACATCTGTATTTTTTTTTAAAGCTTTACAGGTGGTTCCAAAGTTCAGCCTTGGCCAAGGACCACTGTACCACTTAAATGATCTTAAACAAGTAGTTCGGTTTCTCTCAAATATCAGTCTCATCTACGAAGTACGAGGGACTGAAATAGATGATCTTTATGGTCTCTTTGATTCCTAAAATTATGTGACAATAGGGTCATTATAAGGTATTTTGAAAATGAGTCCAATCAATTTCTGACACTGATCAGAAAGCAGGGTGGCACAGGAGTAAAAGAGGCAAGAAGACATAATGGAACTAGTTTCATTACTTTAAAGGCACAAGAATCAAGAGGGAAAATTCTATTCTTTCTATTTCCGAGAATACTTCTAAAAAGCGTCTAAGTTGATAGTTCTGAGCTTTAGGTGAAAGACTGCCTGATAGGGATACAAAGAGAACGTACTAGTTTCATTAAAGACACAAGAATCAAAGGGGAAAATTCCATTTCCTTCAATTTCCCAGCATACTTCTGAAAATTGTCTAAGTTGATAGTTCTGAGCTTTAGATGAAAAACCGCCTGAGAGAGAAAGAGAAGGTCCCTTTGTACAATTAAAAAGCAACAATGTATCTTCCAAAAGAAAAAAAAGATGATAATGCTTATACAGCTTTAAGTACATTAACATACACAAATTCAAGTAATTCTTAAAACTCTGGGACAAATGGGAATATCATCCACTCAATGTTATAGATGAGAAGAGACGTTAAATCTCCTCCCCAGGTCACACAGCTACTAAGTAGTAGCTGAAACCCAGCTTTCTGACTTCAAGCTTTAAAGCAGAGTTATTTTGCACACACCATATAAATTACCCTTGCTGCATTGATCTTCCTGAAATGAGTCAACAGCATCACCACTATTCTGATGTTCCCCAAAGTAGAAATCCATCAGAAGAATCTAAGTCCACTATTTTCTATTGTTCTGAATTTCAAAGGTTAAATGAACACAAGTAACAACTTAAAAAAAAAAGCACTCAGAGAATCTGATCTCAACATCAGTAAACTCAGGCTATAAATTCCACGGCCTTATTCAATTTCACATAATGTTCTTTATCATAATGGTAAACTCTCTGCTATGTGTGTTTCAGAATAAAGAAGAACAAAGACTTCACAACTTCAATAACTCTACAGTTGGCCCTTGCTTTAAATTAATGTTGACAGTTCTGATTTTACCTATACATTCAACTAGCACTTCATGATAAGAGCAGGAAATAAAAGATACGATATATCCAAATTTCTAACATAAATTTTAAAGATCATTTCACTAAATCCCTGCACTGCTATGGATTCTAACGCCTAGAGCAATGATTGTCTAGGTGAGGTTAGGGAGCCATAAAGGTTCGTAAAACCTTATCAAGTGGTCTGCAAGGTCAAAGACATTATTTGCCTTTTTCCATTCTAATTTTCTCACAACTATATACTTGAGTTTTCCAGAGGTTACAAAGCATGTGATTCCACAAAAGACTGAATGCAGAAGCAGGTGAGAAGCTAATCTATCTTCTATTAAGCCAAACATTAAAGAGTTTTGCTGGGGTGTCTGGCTGGTTCAGTTGGTAGAGCATGTGACTCTTGATCTCAGGGTGGTGAGTTTGAGGCCCATGCTGGGTGTGAAGCATGATGGTACATTGGACTAATCATGTCTGAATAAAAAAAAGCAGAACAACAACAACAACAAACACCTCCAATCATTTTGCTCCAAAGAAACCAAACCGGTGATTAAATATTAAGAATATAACAATGAGAACTCTATAGACATCACTATCTATATAATTTGGCTAAAAAAGTAATCACAGACTAACACTCTAAGTGTTTAGGGGCGCCTGGGTGGCTCAGTTGTTAAGCTTCTGCCTTCAGCTCAGGTCATGATCCCAGTGTCCTGGAATCAAGCCCCGCATCGGGCTCCCTGCTCCGCGGGAAGCCTGCTTCTCCCTCTCCCACTCTCCCTGCTTGTGTTCCTTCTCTCGCTATGTCTCTCTCTGTCAAATAAATAAATAAAATCTTAAAAAAAAAAAAAGAAAAAACTTCCCAACTCCCCATATCTCTTGTCAGCTACACTCTCCTCCCTTTAGTCTCAGGCATTTTTCAAAAAATTAACTACACACACTGTAGAACTTACTGGTAACACCAGACCTACTACTCAACTATACAGTGCTGACAAAAGAATGGACTTTATTCTCATTCTGCTGCTTATTTTCTCCCTATCCCCAGGATTCCATAAAACTGCTCTTACCAGTTATCACCAAATTCAGCAAAAATCATAACCAGACACTTCTTAGTCCTTTCTTACCTTACTTGACTTGTCACATTAAACAGTACTGAACCTGTTTCTCCTGTTTACAGTGCTTTCCTTTGGCTTCCGTAAGGCCATGCTCTTCTGGATTTCCTCCTATCTCTCTGTTCACGGCTTTGTGAAATCCTCTTCCTTGGCTAGCCCTTTAAGTGCTACTTGGGGTTATACCCAAGGCTGCCTTTTGTTCTATATAAACTTCCCAGATATTCCATCTCCTTTAGTTTTAATAACCATCCAGGTGTCACTTCTTAGCCCTCTCAACTTTAGCCATGCATACTTAAGTCTCTACTTTATCCCATAGGCATTTCAACCATAATATATTTGCTTAAAGATGGCCTATAGACTAGTAAGTCTAAATCCTAACCTGATCAAATTGAACACACTTTAAAACAGCTTATTAAGAAAGGTCTTCTTTCTGGATGTTGCAAAAAAAGAAGAGGTAGCACCTCTGCACATGGCTTGTCTTGGGAAAGTTATGACCAGCAACACATGCAGTTATGACTCCTCTAACTGCGCTGAGCCCCATGCCAGTGCTATTTCATTAAGTAGTAAACAGGATGGATCTAGAATTGATCACCACAGTCCCAATAAATAATGAAGGCTATCTTTTCATTTTGCTAAACTTTCATTTTGCTGTTTATTTCCCCCTGAAGAATGAGTTTATCATCAACCCAACCATCAACAAAGCACTGTTATCAGAAACCAAACTTTTTTCCTAGCCGCATACTTCTCTTATGAAATTGTGTGCATTTCAAAAGAAAAACATATTCTTTTTTATTTATTTTTTTATTCTTATGTTAATCCCCATACATTACATCATTAGTTTTAGATGAAGTGTTCCATGATTCATTGTTTGTGCATAACACCCAGTGCTCCATGCAGAATGTGCCCTCCTCAATACCCACCACCAGGCTAACCCATCCTCCCACCCCCCTCCCCTCTAGAACCCTCAGTTTGTTTTTCAGAGTCCATCGTCTCTCATGGTTCGTCTACCCCTCCGATTTCCCCTGCTTCATTCTTCCCCTCCCGCTACCACCTTCTTTTTTTTTCCTTAACATATATTGCATTATTTAAGAAAAACATATTCTTTATCTAACATTAAACATGGTTGACATGGCTTTTCCCCCCCCCAAAAGGGAGACAATCACAATTAATAATAATAGTCTATTAAAAAGTGCCAACACAAAAGCTGATCAGTTATTCTTTTTCATCCCATTTCCATGAGGTGCTTGTCTCTTCCACATTCTTCAAATCATTCATCCAGTGGTTCCAACTTACCACCTAATTATTTCCCCATGTGAATATTACACTGCATCCCCTGGCACTACCCTAGTCCAGGCCAATAACCATTAAAAGTAGTCTTTTCCATTCAACAAATTTAAGTTTTATGTTTCAGATATCAAAATGTCTTACAAATTGTATCCCCATGACAGTAACATAATGTTTTGCACCTCAGTCCTCTTACACAGCACTTTTGCACAAGATTTCTAGGACTACAGCTTGTTGATTAGGTTAGCAATTGAATATTCATATGATAACCCAGCTTCCTCAATGTTACAGTATATTTTCCTTATTTCTGCTGTAACTGTATTGTTCCTTATTACTGTTATAACTATAAGTAGTAAAAAAAAATTATGCAAGCTTTAATGGGTAGCCCTGAAATACAGAGGCTGAATGAGTAACAGCTCATGGGTGCTATGTACTTACCACATGCCAGGCAGTATATGAAGAGCTTCACAATATTTAACTCATTTAATCTGTGCTACATCTCTTATTTGAATACTGGCTAGTTACTCATATGGAAGTTGATATTTGTGAGCACTGATGCAGGCAAATATGAAGCAAACTGATGCCTTTGATCCAACAATTCTACATCTAGAAATCAAGGCTAAAGATATGGTCACACAAATACTTCAAAGATAC